TTCCCGAAGTTTCGAATGCTTTACAGCAATCATGGTCACGGGAGAGACTAAGGTTATAGACGTCTCTAAGATCCTTATATACATATTATAGACACTGTCAAAATAAATCTGCGATTATTGAAAATTCTTGTAGGTTTGTATAATAGTTTACCTCGTGAGTTGGTCGTCAATTACGACAACCGTTGCCATATGTACTTATTCAATCCAATTTACATCTACCTATATTATATCTAATCTTATTTTAAACGATATTTTCTATAAACATTAATCGTAGAAACGATGAATGAAACCTAAAGTAAACGCCGTGTAAACTCATTCAAGCACACATACTATATATTATGAACAAAACTAAGAAAAAGATACAAAATAATTTCTCACGGGCTATCAAAATCATCAGATGGAAACATGATCTTACTTTTTATGTGTATTTTCGAGTCATATATACAGTCATGTATGTGGTTTTATGGAAGGCCAATAAATATATCGAGCTATCGCAGCTGATGGTTCTACGCACTACAACGGGATCTAAAGGACGCGCACGCGGGCGATTGATACGCCTCGAATAAATGCTGGTCATTTAATTTACAAGGATAGGAATAATAGATGTATCCTACTGAGTGAAAGCGGATAGGCCATATATATTATTTTGTATAAATTTACCATATATTTGGTTTGTATTATAATTTAGTTATTGTAAAAAATATTTAAGAAAAATATTTTTACTTGTCTATCTATGCATTAAATAAAATGATTATTTTATTATTTATTTAACTTCAGAATATCATTCCATGTACATTTAAATATAAACACATAGATATAACAAATTACAGTAAATGAAAGCACTTCATTGTCGGGCACAAATTGACAAATTGAACTAAAAATTAAAGACAATATGTATTAATTGTGATTAAATTATGATTAATTATAATTTAATCAAGAACATCATGTTTTTGGAGTGCAGGTTTGATTACCACGTGCGGTTGTTTACATGATCAACAACAAAACCGCCCGTCTGCCGCGCTTGAACATTTCAACATTATGAAAGAGCGGGCGAGCGGCGAGTGGCGCGACGTAATTACACAACTCGGGACGCCAATGAAAAGCCATTTTTATGGCGATAAGCGATAAACCGATGCCTTCACTGTAGCCTGATAAAAACCACGCTAGAAACCTTCCGTGAGCACTCGTGCTGTACTGTGGCTTAAGCCACACCACTTTCGGCATTATTGTAGGACCCAAATTCTATTCTCATTTGAAGCAATAACCATATAATGAAATGTAAAATGTCAATTGCCCCTATTTTCTTCCCTATAGTAGAATAAATTTAAAATTGGCGATTTTCATACGTCTGTTTACTCGTAAGTATGTATTTTAAACGCAAAATCCATGCCAATTTCATCGCTGGTATGCCGCTGGTATGCCGCTGGTATGGCATTTTATACAACACCTTTTCTATCTGTTTATGGTCATTATTAATGGGAAAACCATTAACAAAAGGGTTATTAGTTTTTAGATGTTACGTTTTATTATTATAATTCCATACATAGCATAAAAAATTATACAACGTAAATATTGCAATTTGTAATACTATCGGTGTACATAGGTACTATGCATCCTTCGATAATTTCGGAATTTTTAAACATTCTTGTATTCTGCCTACTCCAAAAAGTATATAGCGTGAAGTTGTTTGTTTGTTTGTTTGTTTGTTTGTTTGTTTGTGTGCGTGCGTGTGTGTGTGTGTATCTTAATTTGATATGTACCTAAACTAAACACATAAATAAAAAGCGTTTCAAAATTTCGTTAACAGTGCTTTTCGGTCACAGTACGCATTTAAATTTTATTAATTAAAAAATAAGAAAATGCATAAAAATATAAATATATAATATCCAAAATGACGGTTTTAACAAAATCCCTAGAGAGCCTGGTCTAGTCTCTCACCGACATATACCTACTGTTGAAGGCATTCAGAGTTTTTACTCGGTTTTAATTGCCAGGAACCTCGCTCCAATGATTCTTGACCTTTACACTTCTCACGATATGTCAGTGTTTCTAAAATATGCCTTTATTGCCCTTTCATATGCAATTGTACTATTAAACGGTTAAACACTAAGTATAAAGATGCTTCGATTGTACGGTCACCCGCATTGCTTATTTGATGTTATAGACACATGTGTTTGTGGTGTATCCTTCTTCAGAAATCAACGGAATAACAACTTATTGTAATGATTTTGATAGAGATATTATATTTTTTTACTTTTAAATAACAGGTAACTTTTTAATACCATGAGATACTGTGGTAATTTATTTCTTTTGTGGTGATTATTTTGAAGGTCATGGATCGATATCCATTATAGACTAGTTTTAAAGTAGTTATAATATTTGATTAGTGGTCTGATCTGACATTAATATGGTCTGTAAGAGTATGCAACCCAGTATTGATCAAGCCAAGACTTATAGATGTTCTATTTTATGCTACTTATACACACAAACACATATTCAGATAAGTATGTGTGTGTGTAAGTAACATAAAATGAATAATATAGAATAAAAATAATAACATAAAAATAATAATTTCCTCCGGTGAGGGATCAAGCGCTGGACCGACGACTTGACGACTTATTTGCTTTCCAAGGTAGGTATGGGAACTTCCTAAATATACTTATATAGTTTATGGGATTTTTTGTTGAATTAAGAACAGAAATCATCAATACGTAAACCGACCCAGGAATCGAATCCAGGACCTCCGGATTTGTAGCTACTAGCCTAAGGAGGCAGTTAAGATTAAAGACATGCATAATCTTTGGAGAAGGCTAGTGGTATTTCTTGATTACCTTGTTTGTCATTTTACTATTTCTCACACATATGAATATAGTCGTTAGTAAAGTGTTAAAGTTTTTTTAGATTATGGTATTTTTTTTCTATTATGGTTTTAATAATTTCATGAGAGTGGCGCGTAATAATATCATCCAAAAATTGAAAAGTTGTATTTACATGTTATTAGTGGATATTTATATAATACAAGTTATTTTCTTGTTAAAACTATATTGCGAAGATAAATCCAACAAATCAAAGATCATAAAAATCGGTCTCGCAGTTCTCGAGTTATAAGTGTTGTAACAAACCCGACTTAGCGAGTGTACTTAGGAGAGAAATATATACTATTGCAGATTTTTCTGTAGGCCTTATTCAAGCCTACAACAGGAAGCAAACCTATACAAACCTACAATTTCTAGTGCATTGTTTTCATATATGTCTTAAGGTTTAGCCATCGGAAGGTTTCTAATGAGGATTCGATAAAACCATTTATTGTGTTTACCCGTGGGAAAGAAAGATTTTCCTGAAATAAAAGGTATCATTAATGTTGACTCGAGTAATAAGTTATCACTTCACCGGTTAAAATCACTTCATGACTTTTTGCATGAAATGCGCCCACACAAACAAACATACAGACAAACAGACAAATAGACAAAAATTTTATAACTATTGTTTTGGGGTCCATATTGTGTACATAATACGTTACAGTCATTCATTTCATTTTTTTTTTAAATATTTTATGTACAGATTTTGCTAAGTGACTGCTTTATTATGGTATAGATAAAATGATTGTATATAATAGGGCAAAAAAACCAGCGTTGTCTAAATGCACCTTTATGTATGCGTGATATGTCATCATCAGGTGGTCAATTTTGCGCTGTTTGCAAGAAAGTTATCAGTACTGGTTTTTACTTAGAAAAAACTATATAATTAAAATATATCGTATTATTTTTAGATATTATAGAAAGGGTCGTCTCTAGCTCTAGTCCATGTAAGGGATAGAATAATGTCAATGTACACAGCTTATGCGCAGTAAGTAATGCTCGGCTCGGTCACTAAGGCGCTTTATCAAAGGGCTTAACTGGCTTAGCATTTTAGACTATCTATACATATAATAAAATTGTAACTAAGCCGAATCTGTACATTAGACATTTTTTGGAAAATCTTATTCAAATAAACTTTATTATCGATACAGGAGCCGAATATATAGTTTTTAGAATTTTTGTCTGTCTGTCTGTCTGTTGCCGCATGACAGAAAAACCACTGGTGGGATTTTGATGAAACTTGGTTATAGGATACTTTTTACCGCGGGAAAATATCTCATTTTTGAGAAAAAATACAAAAACTGCAATGTAAGAGTATACTAATATGTAAAACCTAAGAAATTGGTTGTTGGTCATCTGAACGCGGGTGGAGCCGCGGGCAATGCTAATAGTTATATATAAATTGAACTGTCTGTATGTGATTTCGAAAACTATCATTAAAAAACTTTCTTCCAGAGGTCGACTATCTGCTTTTTTCAATGGCGAGTGTATTTGGGTTAAAGTTATAGGCAATTTTTACATTGTGTTAAAAATTTTAGGCGCGGAAATGCTACTTAGGAAAGAAGAAAGCTAATGTTTGTAAAAGTGAGGAAGAAGCTATTTGGTTTCTTCTGGAGCATTTTGGAAGCAATTTAAATCGAAGATATTGGATGTTACAAGGTTTCTACAAAAATATTATAATGTTATAGTAACAATAAAATAGTAATAATAACTTTTTTGAATCGAACGTCATATTTTAATTTTCTTACATAACGTAATCTGCTCACAAATATATACTAACTAGAATTTAGATATGAAAATTGATAATTTTATTCACTTAATTCAAATAAAGCTAGTTTGTAGATTTTATTTTTTGTACAACATCTTTTTATATCGTATAGACTAATGTAACTGGTTCTTAACGAACATCCACTTACGATATAAAATAAAAGAAAAAATATAAGAGAATTAAATAATACTAACTAAATCTACATATTTAATTGATATAGATTTAAAAATATTTAAAAACAAGATGCAGGTCAGTTATTTAGCAAATTTATTTCGAAAAAAAAATATCACAAAAAAAATCTTAATAAATTCTATATTAATAATATGCAAATGTCTCAGTATTGAAAGCTGTATAGATAATAAAATAATAATTTAATGTATGGTAATAGTGAGATGCAATCGTTTTCGGAAGTGTCCGGAGGGGCGGGCGGGGGCGCGGGGGCGGCGGGGGCGGCGCGTGGCGGCCATGCTAATTGCCCCCATTCAAATCGGTAAAAAATCTCACACGTTACAATTATGACGGCGAGAATAATGCGAGGAATTTATTTGAATTACAAATTGAACACACCAGACAGTTTCAGCGCGGAGCGAATAAATAATTTGATATTATGCAAAGTGAAGATACCTCACTTGCGGCGACCTTGACATAGACCCATAAATAAGAATATCTTAACGCTCATGCATATGGACGGCCGCTCGCACTCGGGTATGGTAAGTGCCGGTTTATGAATAAATTTTATTATTTAAAACTCTGAATGTTCATTACTAAAACAAATACTCGTAAGGCGTAGTAGCACAGGGTGCTCCATTTGTTCGATATGGCGAGATCGATTGTATAGCAATCGGTTATAGGTTTCGGATTAATAAATATAAGTTTTTACATCGACAGTTCGATTGGATTAAATAAAATGTTCAAGGTGATCGAGTCAGGCGCGCCTACGCACGTCCCGCGCGCCTTACGTCACGCTATCTGCGACGCGATGTAGAACAATGCATCTAGCCTATCGAAACCTAGTTATGCAACCATTTACACCTTCTACTGGATTTCCTTTAACGATCTATAAAATATAGTTATCGCAATCCTTTCAAACTCCAGTAAAAGCAATTGAATATGAATCCTTATTTATGTAAATTGTATAATTGTTCATTACTTAAGTATTTCAATAAAAGATTGGGAGGATAGATGAGGTATAGACACTAGATATACAAATACGCTTACTTTAACACCCCGTATAAGACAGTTCACATGACCCGAGGCGAATCGCACAGCGGCTGACAATAAAAACAAGACAACAATCGAGTGTTTCCATTAAACAAATTCGTGAATACGTAATGCCGTTCAATGCTCAATATTAATATTTATACGCGATTTGAATAGATCGCTGATATCGCTCGTTAGCCACTTCATATTTTCATTTCACGACACGATGCCTTACAAGCGGACAATGCATACATACCAATCCTTATATTTGTAGTTCATTATGTTAAAGCATTTCCATGTGATACGATCGTTTTATTTTCCACTGCTATTGTTCGAAACAGAAACGAGGTTATAACTAATGTTTTATCAAAATTTGCTAAGCTATTTCAAATACAACATCTAATATACATATATTTATAGGATGGCTACGATACTGCCTTAACATAAATTAATATTTTAATTTTTGATTTAAAATATAAAATTGTTAGTTTTAAGGATATGTTTTATGCAAAATATACTATTTAAGATGGTACATTAACAATAATCCTCAGTTATAATTTTATCGTACGTGTCGTAATCGTATCGCAAGTAATAAAAGCCTAATAACGGGTGTGAAGCCGATTATTCTGTTTCTATTTGTTTGTTGAGATTTGCCATTTGCAATTAGCTTATCTGTTACTGGGGTTTTTATACGTCATCATTAGCACTGATACTCGACCTAAAGCCAGATATTAATCTAATTGTTAATATTAGAATAAACGTATTATTACTATATATCTGTACTCTTCTTGTAAAGGTCCTTATATATCGAAGGTCATTATATATGGTCCGTAAATAATTATATATAGACCGCTGTAGAGCTGAACCACTATATATATACATTATACGGTATTAGCCTACATTTGTATGTTTAAACCATAATATTAGCAATAATAAACATATTTTATAACAATAACACGTTTTATTTATAAATAAATACAAAAAAATGATCAAATCTTATTTCCATAAAAAAAAATTGAATGAAACACTCTAAAGGATCTGTAATTTAAACAAAACACGTGTCACAATAACATCCTTTTCATTCAAAGGAACCTTTCGAATGACACAACAATATGGTATAATATAAAAAATCTCCACGTAACATGGCATTTAATTAAATCCCTTATGAGAGAATAGGGAATGAATAGAGTAGAATCGTGTTGTTGAAGTTGTCTAATAAAAAAAAACTCACGTAAAATTTCTGTGCTGGGGGTCCGTGGATTAAATGACGATACTCATGTATTATAAAATAATTACTTCGATTGGAAATCAAACCTGCGACAATCGCATCAGAAATATGCTTCTCCTACAACGCCTAAGAATTTTCATTTAATTTGTTATATTGCTTATCATGTTCTTTTAAAGCCTTCATTCAAAAAATAGATTTTTTAAAGGTTGGATCGTTAAAACGAAGACGTAATGTAAGTCAAACTAGATAAGGGAAACATATGTAGTTATCGGACTACTATACCTAGATATATAGTACAGATATAATAATATATAAATGCTATAACTAAACTTATATTATCTCACTAGAAGTATTTATGTTAGATTGAAATACTATATGTAGGATTAGAGGTTCCCGTGACGTCATGTCACACCAACAAGGGCAATTCATTGAAAATATGTGATGTGCATCTTGATCCAACATGCGATATGAGCGTGTTTTATGACCTCTGTTTTTTGTTGTTCCTTATAGCTTCGAGGTTAATATCCTGTACTTAAACGAGCAATATAAGAATAATGTGTTTATTCGCGTTTATATTTTGCGTAGTGTAGCTGTGGAAATCGAACCTGGGACCCATTCAGGATTATATGTAGGTAGCTGAATATTAAATTCACACAAAGTAAAATGATAGCATGTTAAGTATAAAATGCTTAAGGTGTCATCAAAAACTTTGGTAAAGAGGACAAAAAAAATGACGTATAATCTAAAATCTAATCAGGATTGGGAACCAAACGGCAGCGCACTCGCTTGGAAAACTGCATAAGTAGAGGGGGTTCAAACCATGAATGTCGCACCTCTATCTTATATTTTTATGGGCTAATAATTGTTTTACATGAAATATGAATGAAACATGATAACCACTTGTTCATACAGTAGGTAAAAGAACATATTGTGAGGAAATCTGCATTTTGAGAGAATGAGAGACGTTAAAACGGCTACAATATAATTTTATTAATATAGCTTATATATGTACCTAATCTAAATTACTTAGTCTCGGGTCAGTTAAATGTATAATTTAGTGAAAGGATAAACAATATTGATATCCAAGATGACGATAATAATCTTTACTATACTAATATTAAATGCGAAAATGAGTTTGTTGGTTCGTCCTTCCATAGATATAGTTTATGACTAGAAAGTGCCGTAACCTATTATATATTTTTATTACCGGATAGAAATATACAATTAATATTATAAATGCAAAAGTTTGGATAGATGGATGTTTGTTTGTTACTCAATCACGACAGAATGGCTGAACAGATCTAGATCAAATTTGGCATAGAGATAGATTATAGTCTGGAATAGCCATAGGCAATTTTTGATCGACTTGAAAAACGAGAAGGTATTCGGTATAACGGTATATTATGGCAAATTATGATTTTTTATTATGAATATAAAATTATATCCTCAAGGATGTTATTATGTACATTTTAATGAATAATTCTATCCCTAAGTGTATAAAAATCATATTGAAATGGATGTACCGTTTTAGTTATAAAATTATTATTATACTTTGACAAATATTGTTTTAAGTGACAAGTTATTTATTTGAATTTGTTTTAATTTTACATAAAAAGAACATCTAAAGCAAAATACAACTAATATTTAAATCAAAGTGAAATACGAAAGCAACACCGTTAGCAGTCTCTCATATCCAATAGAGGGTGGATTAAAGAAGTCCTTGCAACCCGCCCTGCAGCGCGCCGTCGCTGCACTCGCGGACGACGACGACGACAAAGGCGAGGATACACGTACGTGACGCACAAAGCGGACGACGATATTATCCTGTTTTTTATTTTCATACATATCATATACAGGGTGTTTAGATTCTGAATTACCATTATTTTTTTGAGCACAGTTAATTAAAGATTGATTTTTATAAAAAACTAGCTTTATCTGTAGCTTCACCCGCGTTCAAACTTCCGATCGCTATCAAACTTCACAGAATCACCCGCTAGGCTAATTTGAAGATTGCCTAAAATTTTGATTAAAATTGCTCGAGCCGTCTTGGAACCCATAGGGAAGATACTTACACACATCAATTTTTATATATGCGTATAGATAAGTAGGTATTATAAATACCTTAATGAGACTAGCCATGTGCGCATTGCACACTTCTCAAGTCCAGGCTGTGACTGGGAATTTCACAAAAAAAACTCAATAACAGACTAGGCCCCACCCGAATTTGAACCTAGGACCTTCGTATCAACGGCCGTCACACTAGCCACTAAACTAAAGAATAAATATACTTAAATGTAATAAATTTTCAGTGTATATATTTTTAATGCTAATAAAGTCTAATATAATATATAATTATTAATTAATAAAAGTAATAAAAAAGCAACGGCCTATATGCGGTATGGATTTTGGTTGTCACCACACAGACGTGTCGCTTTGCGCGCGCGCCTGTTTACTCACTATGTTTATACGCAGTTAGTTTTGATACCGATCTAGTAGCAAACATGATCAACTTGTAGACCTTGCAAAATTTTGTAACTTAGGCTTATTATGTATCTTAAAGAGAAATATCTGTTTTGTAATCATTCATTAAACAGCAGATATAATACAAATAGGTACTTCCCTAAGACGTAAAGTGATCAAGCAGTGTTACTTGAAATCAATCAGTAGTTTTTCATTATATTAATTTCATTTATTAAATTATATTAAATATAAGAGCTGAATCTATAACAGAAATAAATTTTGTATTCTGTTAAACTTTTATTATTTTTCAAATTAATAGATTTATTAGAAGTACCTAAATAAAAATTATGTAAATTATAATATGAAACAAATTCGTTCTTTTAAAACCAATAAATAACATCTACTTGGCATACAAATGCCGTAAACAAGGAATTGAAACGAGATCATTAAGAAAATATCAAGGATGAACTACATTTCGTAGATGACATCGCAGTTACCTAACGGTCCAGTTTTAGGCATCGCTATGTTAGGCGCGGTGCAAAAGTGTATCAAGGTCTATTTATAATATTCACTATTTAGAAACAAATTTGAATTATAGTCGCAAAATGACAATCTGCATGACAAAACAAAATTTAAAGCATTATGTAACAATACTTTATTTATAATAATCCATCTCTAGTTCGGAAGACCATAACACAGGCTCGTACGGTTCGAAATGGCGTACAGAAGATGAAAAGGCAAAAGTTTAAGTCGTTAGATCCGATTAGGTTGAAGTGATAAGGCCCGCAGTGGATCAACATTGTGGCAGTATCAGGCAGACATCTTGGTTGACAATGTTCTGTAAATACAGTGGTTTATTGTATGAGATTAGAGGTGAGAGGATTTAGTCGTGACATAAGTTATATATAGAACACTGATGACGATCACTTGTTCAGCTTTTTTGTATTTCTTATAGACGATATCGTTTTCAAATTTCAATTTTTGTATGTGTTACAAATGTAAATTTTACGAAATTCAATAACAGCATTTTGTTACGCGGGAATCAAACCTGCGACTGCTTATAAGAAAGGCAATTAATTAACAATTTCTTTTCCCGTAGCAGATTCAACTTATTGGGAATGGCAAATATCTAGACTAAGAACAAAATAATTATTGTCAAATTACTTGTAATTATTTCAAACATCGGAATACGGAAACAACAATAGCACCTGTCTAGGAAGTCGAATGTTAATATATGAAAGGTCATCATCGAAGGTCAGATCTGTCAGAATCTAGGTAGCGATAGTGGTGTGTCCCAAACTGTGGGAAGGGGGGAACAATGTGGCCATTTATCTTTGTGTAATTATAGCAATTAAATATTCCAAATGATGTTTTGGCTTGATAATAGGTTCCTAAGACATTTTATCACGTTTCACACTAAAGATATTTCTTGTAAAATATGACAATTATTTGATTATATAAGTTTAAGTAAATAAGACCAAGTTTGCAATATTTTAGTTATTTTTTTATATTGAATAGCTCTCCTAATATCGACTGTTTTACAAAGCATTTCAATATCTAAAGGCATAAATGTGCAAAGTAAACTAACTTTATATCTATATCATCATATATGATCATCAAGCATTCAGTTAAAAATATGTTTTGAAAATTAGTTGTTTCGCGATTTTTAGTTAATTTTTTATCGTTTAATTAGGTAATAACTTAAACTAAATCCATCTAAAATATGAATACGACATTTATCTACAACCGCATCAAAACCGGCCTATTGTTTTGCTATCATTCCCACGTGTGCTCGTAGTAATGACCTCAGGAACTGACGTATCGTTTTGACGTAAACGCTTAGAGATCATAAGATTGTATGCGATACTTTTGAATAAAACTTTAGAAATAAAAATAATTAGATAAAGTGTATGTGTTTGTTTTATGTTACTTTTGTCCTTGCGGTAATTAATTGCTAGATAAGCGGTCACCTCGGAAAATATACGTATGTTATAATACTCTACAGTCAAATCTCTTTATACTCGTACATATAATATAATCAGACTTCTACAAATACAAAAGTTTGAGTTACAGGTATATGCGCGTGTGTGTGTGTGCGCGTGAGTGCGTGTGCGTGAGTGCGTGTGCGTGTGTGCGTGCATGTGTGTGCGTGTGTGCGGGCATGTGTGTGCCTGTGAGTGTGCGGGCATGTGTGTGCCTGTGAGTGTGCGCGCGTGTGTGTGTTTGTTAAAATTTGCTAAAAGTACTAAGAAGAAAGGTAATAAGTTAATTAATTGTTAAAATTAAAAGGGTAAGTCGCTAGTGTTGTACCTATAAGTTCTCAATTTTTTTGTTAATTTTAGAAATTTGAAAAGCTATTTCTGGTATTGTTTATCCTTCTTGCAGTTACGATATTGAATAAAAACAAACGTCCGGAATGTCCGATCTAAAGGCCAATAGGAAAAGGAAATTAAACAAAGAAGGAAGTAAACATTTGATGTGAAGACATCCATTTTAAATATATAACAATTTTAAAAATACAAATATTTAACAATTTGTTTTAGCTTATTTCTTTTTTTACAAAATCTAGACCGTGTCATGATTTTCTTATTAGTACTAAGCCATCAAATATACAGGGAAAGGCAAGTGCATGGGACGTGGAATAAAATTATCTTAAATATTGAAGTTATCAAGTTTTACTGGAAAGAAATATTACTCCTTACCATAAACACTATCGGTTAGTTTGATAAAATAGTGATGTTGTGTATTACTGTATTTTTAGTTGATTCCATTACAGGTTCAGGTAAGTTTTGATTAAAATATTTAAATGCAGCTATTATTATTATTATTTTTAAATAAAGTTTCCTTTGTGTAAAACTTGATACTTCAATTTTTAAGGTACTTTTCTTCCATGTCCTATCCATTTGTTCCTCCCTGTATAATGATCATTTTAATGTGTCATAATTATAGTTTTTACTGTAACACGCCACCTATTACATTTTATTATAGCTAAATGAACAATTGTCTCAACAAAACAAATATGTTGTAGGTACGACGTCGATTATTCTAGTCATTCAAAGGTCACACCATCACTGACAGACGTACAAACGGTTCATATATATATATTTGTCAGCACGTTTGGCGCAGTTTGTAGTGGCCCTACTTACTGTACGAACGGTCGTGGGTTTGAGTCCCGCTGGGGGCATTCTTTTGAGTGATAAACACGAATGTTTGTACTCCAATCATGGGTGTTTTAATTATAATATGTATCTATTTAAAGCTATATATGTGAAGTGTATCATCTACTTGGTATCCATAGCGTAAGCCTCGTAGCTTACCATGGAACTAAATGGTGCTTTGTTAATGTCCCAACATATTTATTTATATATAGATAAAGAAAGAGCTCATAAATTTAGAAATTTCTTTGCAACATTCCTATAAGTATAATAGGTTTAATATGAAAAAACTGATTGTAGTTGTAATTTCTAATTAAATACTCCAAACATCTTTAAAGGCGCGATATATACCTATTAGATGTACTTCGTCCTTGCGCACGTACACGTGACGTCACACAAGGTATTTCCTTTTTATATACAAAATAACAAATTCAAAACAGTTCTTATTCTAATGGCAATAAGAGACAAAGTTTTGGCATTGATCCGAATGGCAGGAAAAGCAACCTTCCGCATTGTTATCCGGTTTTTAGATGTAATTAAATAAGACCATACATAAAATTAGATGAAGCTTAGAAATATCTCTTTCTTTTAAAGAATAATTAAATATATGTATTATAAAGTCACTTAACTCTACGCTATGACATCTAAAGACATTAAAGATTGTTACTGCTACGTTATTTACAGTGAAAAATAAGGTTCTAGTCGACATATAAAGTAATTGAAGTTTTGAAATTAAATCTTAATATCTTCATGTGTAAAATAAAAATATCATATTACCTTTTAAATAATTATTAATCTGTTATCTTATTATTTATTACTATTTATTTAATCAGAAAAAATATTTTTGAATGCGGTATCTTCTAAAAATTAAGTAACATAAATTATTATAATAGGTACTGAATTCTTTTCTCATCCCAGACCTCATACCAGACCCAAAGCAAAAAATGAGCGATTATTATTTAAAAAAGTGTATTTTTTAACATTATTTATTATAAGGCTTATTGTGCTTCCGCTCAGTACTTGGTACATGTATTTAATTTTAAAATATTATTTAATTAACCGAAAAAAATCTCCGCGTACGCACAAGGCGAGGCAAAGTGTATAGATGGTTTGATAACGATATTTTATTTACCATTTAAAAATATGAAAAATATATAAAATATAATTACTGGCGTGAAAT